TGCCTGCCTGGGGTGCAGTGCCTTCCCCCAGCCTCGTGTCCCCTCTCCTGGCCCCCCAGGCAGCCCAGGGAAGAGCCAGGCCGGCCCCAGATGGGGTGGAGGCAGGCACTGGGGGAGCCCGCGGGGGTGCCAGGCTCTCTGGGGTGACCCCCTTGCATTGCCCTTGGTCTCTGCTGCTCGTCCTTCGGGGACAGAGAGCAGCCAGATCTAGGTGTGTAAGAGAAGGGACTGGCCAGAGCTGAGAGCGGGCAGAAAGTGTTTCCTTCCCGCTTCACGGAGGTGGGCGTGTGGAGAGGTGCTGGCTGCTCTTAGCCAGGGCCCTTCACCTGGCACGATGTTTGTCGCTTGAAATCTGCTTCCTCTTGGCAGAGCTCTCTCTGCCTAGGTGTGCTCTTTGTCTCCTGGGAAGTGGTGGCAGGAGGGGGGAAGTGCTCTTAATGTGAAAAGTAGGCATGCAGATAACCTGTAGTTGCCCCATTGGTACACCAGCTCCGTGGAAGGCGGCATGTTGGTTTGGTCTCTGGCTGTGCTTTGTTTTCTGAGCTTGGCTAATTAGTTTTGACTCCATGTCCCATAGTCTCCATGCCTGAGAGTGAAGGACAGTGCATGGGTAAAAGGCCCCCAGATCAGAGCTCAAGAGCCTCATAGATTTTGGGAGATGACAACTTTGGGGTGACTTTCTGTTGCGGAAAGGCAAATGCTGTTGGTGTAAGAGAGGAAGCTAATTTTGCAAAATGGGGCATGGATGTCACATGGTGATGATAGAAGAGCTTTGAATCATAGTAGCAGTACCACATCCATGTATAGTGTAAAATAGAAAGAAATAACAATTATCTGGTAATTAATCCTTTTCCTGCTGGTCTGAGGAGGCTGCTCTCAGAGCTCTTGCTTGTTGAAGTTAGTGTTGCACTTGTTCATTTAGAAGTAAAGTTCAGGGATGAAGTGTTTCTCTGAAGATGAGTACTCTTGTTGGATTCAGTGGAGATAGGATCTCACTCTAAGTTTCACAGCTGCTCTACCCTAAAGTTTTAAGAACACGCTATTCATGTACGTAACTCCTGTGTATTCTTGGTGCCTATGGTTGTATTAATCCTACTGTTGTCTTCTGTAAATGCCTTTTTTTTTTTTTTAAATGACAGCAACAGGGCTAATTCTACTTGGATCTTTCTGGTTTAATTTATTTTTATATAGAAATGGCCAAAAAGTTGTTTGGACTATTGTGAACTGGCTTCTAGTCAGGATTCTACACAGAAGAAAAAGAGCAATAAATTTTCCATTCACAACTATTGAATTGGAGTAATGTTAAAAATGGTTTAAGTCAACTTTTATACCACATTTACCCCAGTGTAAATATATTATTTTTCATGCTAACACCTGTCCAAGGTGTCCTGTCCTACCCTAGATCCTCTTCATTTATTCTGTCTTATTGTTGCTATACTACTTGTCATCCCTCTTGAGGACGGCTGATAGATCAGAAGTAAAATAAAGGTTCACTTAACATCTCCAGGCATTAGCCCTATAATCAGGTACACACAGGTATCTGGCACTTGCATGCATCTCTGCTGATGTTTGTGAGGTAAAGGTGTGATTAATTAAGCCTGATGAGACTAATGTGCAAGAATATTCCTGAACGCAAATTTCTGCAGATACAGGTTCTCCTTCTTCTCTGATCAGTCTTCCTCCTGGTACACAGG